GAGGAGTGTGTCGTTGTGGGGGGGGGGGGGGGGGTTTGGCTATATCTAGCTTTACCTGCACAACTCCGTAACAAGCAACCAGGAAGAAGTATTAACGCTTCCTAGCTAAATGCACATAAACATCTACTTGGGAGCAGCCTGTAAAGTCCTTGTTGGGCAACCTACTCACCCAAGTTTCTGCTTCTTACAGCCACCCCTGTGGTTTTCAGACCCCTTGAAGCTCAGGATCTCCGAAACAGAGATTTTGATTGAAAAAGTTAAGAACCCTTGCTCAAACACAGCTCCACATCAAGAGCCTGGGGTTCAGCTGTGCCTACGTCTGCTTCAGAGTGATACTTCAGTGTTATTTTTGTCTTGTAAATTCATTATACCAAGGGAAAGACAGTTGCGCTTATTTTCATTGTTTTTTAGCAGACAGCAATTACACAATCATTGCACCTCTACAGAAACAAATCCCACTTTAAACGTACTAATTTACATCCCCCATTATGGTCCAGCAGTTCAGACAGAAGGAAAAGTCCATCATTACAACCATCCCTTCGAGTCACTGAGGCTTCTGGATATGCAAAAACCTAGAGAAAATTCATCCCCAAGATATAAATATAGATTTTTATTCTTTAGAGAAAGAGCCAGATACAAACCCACAGTCCTTTGAGAGTGGATAAACCAAACGTCAAGGTTATTTTCTTCGAAACAGCTTAATAAGCAGGTGCTGAGCCTGTGGCGGCCGTTTACCGAGCGTGCGAATCGCTGGCACATCCCTGGCCCTCGCAATTTGCAGCAGACCCATCAGGTCTCACAGCAGATCCCCTGCCAGTTTGAAGTGTCTCCCCGCCACCCCCACCACTCGTTTCTCATCAGCTCGCCGCAGACAGCAACAGATCATTTCATCCTGTTATTTACGCCACAGAAATTTGGACTCGAGGAAAAACAGGCATAACAATTTTACATCACTTAAGCGACCAACTTAGCTGACCACATCAAATTCTGCCTAACTGCTGGCAAGAGCAACAGACCTTTAATTAAACTAACTAGCCCCGAGCCAGAGAAATACTTTTTTCCTGCCGATTCATTTGATAGGAGGTGATGGTGCCGAGATCACCTTCACAATCCAAAGCACTACTGAGTGCTCCCCTACAGCTCGCTCAAATCCCTTCGGTTGCAAACGCCTCTGCAACAGCCCATGCTTCCCAGGGACCTGCCTTGCCCCATTCGCGCCCTGGTCAGCTCCAGTGTTTATTTTTGCTGCTGATAATGGGACTCTCATGGCCTCCCTATCCCGCTCAGTGCGGAATGGAAGTAATGAAAAGCCCCACCAGCCTGTGCCCCAAGGTGCTCCTAACTCAAATGATTTCACATGATAATCCACGAGAGCCAGGAGCAGTTCCCTTCACAGGGCCATGCCCAGGACACAAATCCGCATCCCTGGGGCACAGACGGACGCTGAGCTCTGGGAGGGGAGCCCAAGCTCACGCCAATGGGGTCTGGATAAGCTGGGTGCAGGGGAGGGAGAGGGCATCCCCCCCCCCTGCCGTACCTGAGCTTGCCCACATGGGGTTTGCCATCGACCTTAGAAAAGCCAGACTCTTCATGGGAGGAAACTGCTGCAGGGAAGAGACACAGCTTTGTGCACCCAGCACGATGCTCCGTCATGTGGCACTGCCCAAGCCCACACAGCACATTATCTTCTACTACACACTGAAATAAGCTGCATTTTTCAGTACTTTTTTCTTTTCTTCTGGAAAGGAGCTAATTAGAGTAGAAAAGGATCTCTACGACTCTCACACGTATGACTCCTGTACTTCAGAGGTTTTTAATTTGTGTTATGCGACTACCATGCACACACTGTACTTGGAATTATATAGCACATAACCTAATCAAACAACACTAACAATGCCAGGTAGTTAAATCATGCTGTGATAAGCAAGGAAAATGATTTTGTGTAGGCACGGCAAAGTCTCCCTTGCACCTCGGTCAAAGTGGCATCTACTACCAATTATCAAGTTGGCAAAACGTACCCGTTATTGAAGGCAATGGCTTAATGTAAGTTAAGTAAAGTGCATGGCTGGGGGTGCATCAAGTCATTTAGACAGTGCTGTTCAGCTGCGGAGCGGGCTACAGGCTGAGCATAACCAAAGGGAGGTGCGTTGCATTGTAAAAAAACCCCAAAGCATCACAGAGATGGGTACAGGAGGAGCACCCTCCTTCCCATGGAGCAGGGAAGGGGCACCCTGGCTGGCACCGACCACCCGGGGAGCCCCTGAGAAGGGGAGCAGGAGCAAGGCAAGAAATGTGAGCATGGGGAGGGGCTGCAGGAACCACAGAGCTCCCTCGGGGAGGTAGCAGCTTTGAGGACAAGAATCCTAAAAGTACAGAAATATCTGCTGCAAAGAAGAGATTAATTAATTCCCCATGTCCACGATAAGAAATTAAAGGTATGTGTTACAGCAAGGAAGCCAGGCTGGATACTGGGGAAAAAGCCCTGTCCCAGTAAGGATGCAGATGCACGGGAGGTGGTGGTGGCCCAGGAGCCAGTGTCCCTGCATCCTTGGCGGGACTGGCCAGACAAATGCCACCAGAAACAGTCTGGGCACACTCAATTCTGCTTCAAGGGAGGAAGATGATCAGATAGCCTGAGGTCCTTCCAGCCCCATTTTTACAGGATTTCTCCTCTTGACTCCAGCT